GATTGCCAAATATTTGGATCTTCATAACACATTCTTTATTTTTTTATATATATATATAGTCTCCATCTTACTTTGCTGACTCGATTGGCAGCTCACCTTTTCTAAAATATGAGGTTGGTATCATGATTAAAGAAAAAAACACACGCCTCTTCTGTCTATCTCTCTCTCTCTGCTATGGCTCCATAGCCGTCGCAATCACATTTTTCATGCCCTTCAATAATCTGTCCACTTGTTATATGTATATACATACAAGGAGAAATCCAAAGGCAGAGCACCAAAACACGAGAAAAAATGTCTTCTCTAAACCTGGAAACCACCTCCGAAACCCCACCCAGAGTACCGGACTCCCTTCAAGAACTTCCTATCACCACCACCGCCAAGAAATTCCCAAAAAAACTCACTTTGGTCCCTCTAATATTCTTAATCTACTTTGAAGTTGCTGGGGGTCCTTATGGAGAAGAACCTGCGGTCCAGGCTGCAGGGCCTCTGTATGCCTTACTTGGTTTCTTGATATTTCCATTTATATGGAGTATTCCTGAGGCTCTTATCACCGCTGAGCTCTCCACTGCTTACCCTGGAAATGGAGGTTTTGTCATTTGGGCTGAAAGGGCTTTTGGTCCTTTCTGTGGATCTCTGATGGGTTCTTGGAAATTCTTGAGTGGTGTTATTAATATTGCTGCTTTTCCTGTTCTTTGCATTGATTACATGGAGAAGGTAGTTCCTGCTTTGGAATCAGGTTGGCCTAGAAAAGTTGCTGTCTTGATTTCAACATTGTTGTTATCCTTTTTAAACTATACTGGATTGGCTATTGTTGGTTATGCTGCTGTTCTGCTTGGTCTTGTTTCGCTTTCGCCTTTTATAGTTATGTCTTTGATAGCAATCCCTAAGATTCATCCTCATAGGTGGATAAGTTTTGGCCAAAAGGGTGTGAAAAAGGACTGGACTCTGTTCTTTAACACACTTTTTTGGAACTTGAATTTCTGGGACAATGTTAGTACTTTGGCTGGTGAAGTGGATGCACCCCGGAAAACATTTCCTATGGCCTTGCTTGTGGCTGTGATCTTCACTTGTGTGTCTTACTTGATTCCACTTTTCGCGGTGACTGGTGCTGTTTCTGTGGATCAAAGTCTATGGGAATCAGGATTTCATGCCACTGCTGCAGAGATGATTGCAGGGAAGTGGCTAAAGTATTGGATTGAAGTTGGTGCTGTGTTATCTGCTATTGGTTTATATGAGGCTCAATTAAGTAGTAGTGCATACCAGCTTCTTGGTATGGCTGATTTAGGATTTGTTCCAAACTTCTTTGCCATTAGGTCTAAAAGGTTCAACACACCTTGGGTGGGGATATTGCTATCCACTTTGATCACAATTGGTGTCTCATATATGACCTTTACAGATATCATTTCGTCAGCTAATTTCTTATATAGTTTAGGTATGTTGTTAGAGTTTGCATCTTTTATTTGGTTGAGAAAGAAATTGCCAGGGTTGAAAAGGCCTTACAGGATTCCAATGAGGCTTCCAGGTTTGATTGTTATGTGCTTAGTACCATCTGCATTTTTGGTTCTTATAATGGCTATTGCCACCAAGACTGTTTACTTGGTGAGTGGTTTGATGACTGTGGGTGCCATTGGATTTTACGTATTTATGAATTTTTGCAAGACAAAGCGGTGGTTCAAGTTTAGCAGCGGTGAAGTCATTGAAGATTGATGTATAAGAGAAGGTTGTTATCTTGTTGAATTGGTCATGAATGAATTTGGCTTAGTGCTTAAGAAAAAGACATGTAGACAGTCACATGGAATCTGTGGACTCCCGATTCTCAACAACATGGCACTTGGCATTGGAGAATCTGCATAGGATCTAAAGATCCTATTTCTACTAGGGTTGTATGGTTGTAAAGTTATGAGATCAAGAAATTAGGTTAATGAAAACAGCTTCTGTACTGTTATTCTCTCCTGCTTTTTCTCTGTTTATTAGCCCTAACCTCCCAGGATTTGTACTCTTTTTTTTGGCTTAAAAGAAATCCGTGATGATTTAACTAACTCAATTTGATGTAGACTTTGTCAATCTTGGACCCCTAAAAAAGGGATGAATGAGTCTAGAATTGAATGCAGGCATCGATAAGTTTAAATCAAAGAATAAAAGGAAAAAAAAAATCCTTTCTATCTCCCCGAGGAGAGGGAAAAAAGTCAACTATTAGCACAATGATTACCCTCTCTATAAATATAGTGATTTCTAACATCCCAGTCATGCTGAATAAGCTGAAAAATCTATTTTAAAAGAGGGTCCTTAGCCAGAGACTCGGATGCACCCCTAGCTGCATTCACCACCATGGCTGAATCCATCTACAACTTCACCAGTTTGAATCTCCTTGGAACAAAGATAGGACCTACAAGAAGATATTAGCATGGTTTACAACAAAGGGAAGGAAATATTGAGTATTCAAACTGGTAACTGCAAGAAGATATTAGCATTAATGTTGAAGATTTTCTGCTTATTTTTTAAACAAAAAGGACATGGTTTAAAAGATGGTTTCATTTTCTGCTTATGTTGAATAAGTGTTCTTTTGATTTTGATAAAAAGCAGTGGGGCACCTTTGATGCTTACAATATTGTGAGAGACGGTTTCATTTTCTTTGGCACTGTCAAGAACAGTAATCAACTGCGTGCGTAGAACGGCATGTATGAGCTGAATTTCTAAATTATACTGAGGAATCTCTATGATTCAATTTCTATTCTTGATTAAACATAATAGGGATTGAGATGACAATGACTTTGCTTAGAATTTGGAGAGCTTGGCCATTAATGCATGGAACTTAACAAAATAATGCAGAAGCAATTGAAAAAGTGGAGGGCCCTGACTTGTGTGTTTGCATATCTTTCCCCACAAGATTTTTTTGACGAGGATACATAACAAGGCATGCACCTCTTTCCCAATCTGGCCCAATCTGGCCCCATTTTGCTAGCTGTGAATGATGGAGGTGGATCTTGGATGCAATGTAACTGCAGCCTAGTGTGAACTTACTTCATGATCTTATTGAAGATATTCACAGGGGTGGTTAGAAAGAATTTCCAGTTAAATGAGAGCAACTTGCATCCACTATTAATTTTGGTAATGTGGTATGATTGGGATGATAACTTGTCAAATTTGACACGAACATTGACTTGGAACAAGATTAGGTTCACAACTTTTTAATAATTTTCTTATAATTTTTACACCATATAATTCATATGTTTTAAAAACAAAAGATCAAAGTGTATCCATTATGTGGGACAAGAAAATAAATTATGTGACAGTTTCTTTTATCACAATATCATGTGTCAGTCAAAAATATTTTTAACTCCTTTTCTTATATTTTTTCTCCAACTATTGGTAATTATCTTAAAAATATTTTAAATTTTAAAATTTAAAATATTTTTTCCATGTTCACCTGTCATTCCATATCAACATTGAATTGCCTACATCTCATTTATCAAATTGAATTTTCATGACCGAGGACAAAAAAAAAATGGCCCACCACCCCTCCAAATTCCATTCATAAAGCCTTACAAACCTACCAGTATATTCAAAGCTTTGACACCGAAAGGATGGAACCCCACCTCTCCTCTTCAAACACTCAACATCTCCTGGAACAACAGCCACCCACCACCACCACCACCACCAAAAGCCATGGAAAACTAGCATTAATCCCACTTGTTTTCCTCATCTTCTTTGAGGTATCAGGGGGTCCTTATGGTGAAGAATCAGCTGTGGGAGCTGCTGGGCCTCTTTGGGCCATACTGGGCTTTTTCATATTTCCCTTCATTTGGAGCATCCCCGAGGCCCTTGTCACCGCCGAGCTCGCCACCGCCTTTCCAGGCAACGGTGGTTTTGTCGTCTGGGCCCATCAGGCCTTCGGACCCTTCTGGGGTTCCCTGATGGGTTCCTGGAAGTTCCTTACTGGTGTCCTGAATCTGGCTTCATATCCAGTTCTTTGCATAGACTATCTCAAGTTGGTTTTCCCAGTTTTCTCTTTAGGTGTGCCTCGCTATATTGCCATATTGGTCTCAACTTTGGTGTTGTCGTTTCTAAACTATACAGGTTTGGCAATTGTTGGTTACACTGCTGTTACTTTAGGTATCGTGTCACTTTCACCATTTGTAGTACTGACATTAGTTTCAATCCCCAAGATTGATCCTTCAAGATGGATCAGTTTAGGACAGAAGGGTGTCCAAAAGGATTGGACATTGTTTTTTAATACTCTGTTTTGGAACTTAAATTTTTGGGATAGTGCTAGTACTTTAGCTGGTGAAGTTGAGCAACCTCAAAGGACTTTTCCAATAGCACTTTTATCTGCTGGCGTGCTCACTTGTTTAGGTTACTTAGTACCTCTTTTAGCTGCCACAGGGGCTATACCATTAAGCCAAGAAGATTGGACTGATGGCTATTTTGCTTATGTAGCTGAAATGGTTGCTGGGAAATGGTTGAAATTATGGATGGAAATTGGTGCATGTTTATCTGTTATTGGATTATATGAAGCACAATTGAGTAGTTGTGCATACCAAGTTTTAGGCATGGCTGACTTGGGATTTTTGCCAGAATTTTTTGGTGTGAGATCGAAGTGGTTTAACACACCTTGGGTGGCAATTCTGGTCTCAACAGTAATAGCATTAGCAGGTTGTTATATGGATTTTGCAGACATAATTTCTTCAGTGAATTTCTTGTACAGTTTAGGCATGTTGTTGGAATTTGCATCATTTTTATGGCTGAGGAGGAAAATGCCAAGTATAGACAGGCCATTTAGGGTTCCAATGGGATTGCCTGGCTTGATCATAATGTGCTTGATTCCATCTGTGTTTCTGGTCTATGTTATGGCTGTGGCAACCAGAACTGTGTATATGGTGAGCTTTATTTTGACTGTTCTTGGGATTTTATGGTACTTCTTCATGAAGTTTTGCAAATCAAAGATGTGGCTTCAATTTAACAGCACTGGAGAAAAACTGGAATATGAGGATTAGAGTAGGTTTTTTTCTGTTTATTCTATTGTTCAGGAATTGTTTGCTTGTATTGAAATTGTTTCTGGTCATCTGTGAAGTCATGTATATACTCAACTTCTGATCTTATAAAAAGAAAAATCAAATTTATTTTTGTTCATTTCTTGAATTGATTGATTGTAGTTTACATTTATGAAGTCATGGTTACCGCTTCAGCTCTTCTAGGAATTGAATTCAGAATCATCAGAGAATGAAAGTTGGATTGATTGGTGGCACTTCAAATTCTCTGTGTACAAGATACATCCTCAGGTCTGAACAAGTTGCAACACCTGTAAAACAATAGCTTCATATTCTTATCTTAGCGAAATCGATTGTTTTCTTCCCATCATGTGCCTTTCGGAAGAAATGCTTGACGTAATCCGAGTACAGAACTTCCTTATACACTGCCTTCTCGCCGCTTGCCAGCACTTCATGAAAAGGAGATATTTTGTCTGATGGCCTTGGGTTGATGAATATGGGGATTGAAATCCTGTTCTTACTTCCATCTGTCATCACGCAGTGCTCAACACTCTTGTATCGACCATTGCTCATTATTTGTAGAGCATCACCAACATTGATCACAAGGGAACCGTTAACAGGAGGAACATGAATCCAGTAATCGTCATCTCCTCGGACGTAAAGTCCACCAACGTTATCTTGGAGGAGGGCTGTGAGTGTCGAGACATCAGAGTGGCGGCCAATTCCTACTGTGAGCTCAGGGTTTGGACAAATCGGATAGTAGTTAAGGTTAATCCTTTTAGACCCCATTAAGAGGGATTCTTTTTTCTCATCAATTTCAGTCACTTTCAGATTCTTCATTAACACATCTAGTAGCCTTCTGATAACAATTTCTGATCTCCTCATGTAGTCTAGCACTTGATCCCTGAAAGTAAAGCATTTCAGTCCAGTCCAAGCCATCTCTAACTAAATGATTTTGATGCATTTTAATAGATTACGCATGTGCAGCTTGTGAGAAGTTAAAAATTTGTTACTTGCAAACAGAGGGCCACAAAGCAGAAGCCTCGTCCTCAGAGACATAAAAGAGGCTAAGGTAATCTTTCCACTCTAAAGCCCTCTCAGCTTCCGGACTAAAGCTTGTGCCAAACCGCACGTTGTTAGAAGGAGAAAGCTCTTTTAAATACTTCCTCTTTTCCTCCGCTGGTAACCTGAAGAACCGATGAGTTGATTCCTTGACATTCTCAAGTACATGAACGGGAACCCCATGGTTAATAATCTGAAAGAAACCCCATCTTTC